TAGGGAAAGCTAGAATTCATGGGCCATTATACTAGCATGCGTAGAGATCAGAGATGGGGAGGTGGTGCCCACTATTTGCTGCAGCCTCCTGGCTAGCTGAGACCACCCTGAAACAGCCCCAAGGAGAGGTCGACTTCCACTTGCCAAATTGGCATCCAGATAGGTTGAACCATTCAAAGAAATTCCTTGAAAACTTCAACAGCCAGTTTTTCCTCGCGAGGCTGCTCCGTGGTGATGGAGTAAACATGCGATTCCCATCCTGTACTTGCGAGGGTCAATCTTAGGTAAATGTCGTTTTCAGCACTGCCTCTGAACGTGCATCCGTTCGATTGTCGTTCACAAGCTGTCATAGATTAGATTCAATGTTTTTCGTTTCCTTTTTCTTTTCTTTTTTTATTAAAAAAAATACTTGTAAGATAGTCTGTCTAGAACAAACCCCACGAGCAACATGAACTGCTTGTGTATAATTTGCTTGCGTACAACGAGCTTTAATTGATTTAAATGCGAGGAATTTTTACTCGTAATATAGTAAAATAATATTTTTATTTTTTTAATATATTTTAAATAATCAATCTAAAAACATAAAAAAATATTTTTAATAAAAAACATTTAATTTTTCATAAAACATGGTTCGAAACGTAATTTTAACAACGGAATAGTTCTCGTACATCAAGGACCCCACCGGTGCATTTACCACGTCATTGTGAGATAATAGGTAATTACCGAGGTGGATCCCACATCGAAGAGTCCCTGTAATAATCACACACAAGGGAAGGAAAAAGAAAAGAAACAAAACCTTTGGACCACCATAATTAAAATCTCACTTTAACTCGGTAAGGTTGTCATTAATCAATGAACTGTATTCACTTAGAGAGAAAGGCTTGGTTGTATCCAGCATGTCAAATTTAATGACCCGAATTTGCATTGATTTCTGGTCTAATCTGAGTTAGATTTTATATTAAAATAGATAAAAATTGATTTATTCATTTATTTTTATTTCTTTTAAAACCATTCCTTTTAAAACTTTTTTTCCTTAATTTAATAATATTATTTTTGGCTAATCTAAATTGATTCATCCAAACCATCACCCGCATGGAGCCAAGAAATTGAATAAATTTTATAACTATATTTACAGCTACAATACGAAATAAAAAGAAAAGGATAAGAGGATGGTCCCTCCACCCACACTCCAAGGTTTATAATACGCGGAAGAGTGTAATTATTATTAGTTTGAAAGTGTTTTTTACTTATAAAAATATATTAATAATATTTGTTTATTTTTTTAAAAATTATTTTTAAAATTAGCATATAAAAATAATTTAAAAAATAAAAAATATATTAATTCAAAGTAGAACAATTTAAATTCTTTTAAAAATATTTTTAAAATATAGTATCAAACACGCTATAATTCAGTATAATTTCGAAAACTTGCCATGCTGGTTAATCCAGGATCCGACCTATTTAAGGTTGAAATCAAGTTGGGTTGAAGAAAAAAAAAAACTTGTAAGTTAGTTAATCAGATGAGTTGACCTGTAAGTATATTTATAACCTGTTAATTTTTATTTTTTAAATTAAAATAATATTTTTATTTTTTGTCAAAATAAAATTTTACATGAACTATTTAATCAAAACATGGTAATCTAGTCAAACCTAGATCTTGAAAGATTAAATTTATTTTTTTAATATGTTTATATGAAAATACAACTTGAAACGAGATATCTGTCACTGTCCCGTAGGAGCACTTAAAAACAATCTACAATGGAGAAGAGGCTCCTTCTCCCCCCTTCACGCGTTTGTACATTGGACATTGACTTCTCTATTTTGTTCGGATTAGGAGGGACGCTCTCCCAAGCCCTTGCCTTGCCTTCTGGAAACTTTTATTTTATCATTTGATTTGATTAATTGTTTGCTTAACATGTAGCGGGCAGTAGATAGTACAAAGCTAACATCACGTCGTCATCTTCAAGATTAAAATACAAGAATTCTCGCAATTACCAAACCGATCCTCTTGATCCTCGCTTTTTTTTGGTATTTTTTTAATAAACTGTAAAAAAAATAATGAAGAATGATACTGAGCTTGGAGGAACATTATATTAGAAGGAAGAGGTGGCTGCCTTCTTCCCAGCCAGCCACACAGCTGGTTTTGATCCATTTTAAATGATATTTTTAGGCTCTTTATTTACTATTTATAAATATAGGGCCTAGTAATAAATAGTAAATCTTAAGATCTGATCCTTCTTCTCATTCTCAAATACCACCACGGCACAAACACTCCTCCGCTTCTCAGCTCTCTCTTTCTCCCTTCTCCATTTCCACATTCTTCCGCTCCCGTCTCCAACCACCGACTCTACCGTTCCGGTGACTAACTCTGCTCTAACAATATCTCGCCGGCCGAGATCTGTCTCTTTCTTTCTCTGATCTGAATACTTGATTCGTCTATTCATCTTTTATTTTATTTTAACAGCAGTAGAGGGTGCAATGTCGGCGGATTTGAATGTGAATCAAATAGAGGAGAAGATATCTGTATTGGATCAGCCTGAAGAATCCGCTCGTGTTGATTGTAATGGGAATGGCAAGGTTAATGATCATCATGGCCCTGATCCTGTCTGTGCCGAAGACTCTGTGGCTGATCAAGTTGGAGAATTGAAGGCTGATCGTGTCGAATCCGAGTCCAATACTGGGTTCCGTGACGAGGACGATCCGATCGAGAAAGAAGAAGATCTTCAGGCAAGGGCTTTGCTTTTCTTATTATCCGAATTATACGTCCATTAGAGTGGCTTGGCTGTGTTTATTGATTTTTCTGACTTCTTTGGATTAATTGTAAATCCTTTCTTTTTTTTTTTTTTAAAAATTGTAATGTGGTTGCTAATGGAAACGTTCTTTTTTTTTTAAAAAAAATTGTAATGTGGTTGCTAATGGAAAAAAGGTTGATGCTTTGAATAATCAAACATGTCGAATAGGGGTTCAAGGCTCGTCCATTTAGAGTCCGAGTCTGTTCGTTCCTTTTCTTTACTCTGAATCAGAGGTGTCATTCAGGATCTTGGATTCCAACTTCCGAGCTGTTTTTGGGCTGAGTATCTAGGTAGCGGTATTGTAGGTTTGTAACCTATGAGTGTGCCTTTTGTATCCGTGCTGTATGGCTGAGTAATGAGGATGCGCTCTGTTTTGTTACTTTTACACCTTCCTCTTGTTCTCTTTTTTTCCATATGCTGATAAACTCACATTACTATTAACTAGATGCTTCTGTTAAACTCATATTTTATATTTCAAAACAGGATGCTGAGAAGGTGAGGGAGGAAAAGTTGGCGGATATACCAGAAGATCATGATGTAGAAGGGGACAAAAAGGGGTTAATTAATCATGCTGAACTCTCAAATGCAGGTAACTTATCGATGTCCTGAAGTGATTTCTAAACCATAAGCAATGAATAAAGACTGTACTTGCAATAAAACAATTAAGAAATTGATGCCTTTTTCGAACATCTAGAATCCACATATGCTCCCGCTACTAAACTGTTCCCATTTCACTTTGATAGGTTTTTATTTTCACCATGGGGCTTTTTTTTTTATTCCTTTGAAGTGATGTTTTATATCTTTCGAACTAATTTGTGTTCTTTACTTGAACTTTCTGCCTGAAAAGTGGCAGAAGCTCAGGAATCGCACGACACAAGTGTGCATGTTGCTGAATCTGAGCTAAATCAGTCAAATAATGATGAGGAGAGGGTTGAGGAGGAAAGCAAATTGAATTCGACCATTGACATAAAAGAACATGAAGATTCTCAGGCTGTAGCTATCAATGGTGTTCATAATGATTTGGATTTGGATCGGCAGAGGGACCTGGAAGAAGCTCAGGAATTGCAAGACACTAGTGTGCATGTTGCTGAATCTGGGCTAAATCGGTCAAATAATGATGAGGAGATGGTTGAGGAGGAAAGCAAATTGAATTCGACCATTGAAATAAAAGAGCATGAAGATTCTCAGGCTGTAGCTATCAATGGTGTTCATAATGATTTGGATTTGGATCAGCAGAGGGACCTGGCAGAATTGATCGCCACTGAATATGTTTCTGAATCTGAGCCCAGTCAGTCTAGGAATGATGACGAGAAGGTTGAGGAAAGCCAATTGGTTTCTGAAGATTCTCAGGCTGTAGTTAGCAATGCTGCTCATAATATTCTTGCCTCAGACCATGAGAAGAAACTGAAGGAATTGATGAATAATGATGATGTTACTGAATTCAAGCCAAAACAATCTAGCAATGACGTGGAGAAGGTAAAGGAGGAAAGCAAATTGGACCTGGCCATCCATGTAGAAGAAATTGAAGATTCTCAGGCTGCAGTTATCAATGGTGTCTGTAATAGTTTGGATTTGAACCAGGAGAAGGAACTGCCAGAATTAATCAAGGATCTTCCTCTGGAAGATTCTGTGGAGGAGTCTGTGGATCCCTTCAAGCAGAATCTGGAAACAGTTCCATGTCCAGTCATGGCTGATGACAAATTGGAAGCAGAATCTGCTGAAGGCCCTACATCTGATGAAAATAGAGATGGCTTGCCTGTTGGTCATGCTCAAGATACTGCTGCAGAAACTCAGGTTGTTGATGACCTGGTTGATGCCAAACAAAATATATCTAAGAGCTCTTCTGAAAATGTTGAACTTGTAGCAACTTCTGATGCTGAAACTGGTCAGAGGTTTCCAATTTCTAGTGATAATGGTACAGCAGGAGATGAAACAAGTCACATCCTCATGGATGCTGTGCAATCAGAAGTGCCAGATGCTAATGGCCTTGATATTCATGAAAAAGGAGGCTTGCTTACTAGCCAGGAAAGTGCTTCACAAACTGTTCTTGTTAATGACTTTGTTCATACACCCGAGCAAAACCATACCTTAGAAATCAGCACAGAAGTGTCCTCCCCTGCTGTTCTCGAGGAAGCACCTGTTGAAAGTAGTGAAAGTTTCCCAGTTTCTCCTATCAATGATATTGGAGCAGAACCAATTGTCAGAATTGAGGATTCTTGTCCAGTAGAAGATTCCAAGTTATGTGATATTGTAAGAACAGAGACCAAGGTTGATAACATAGGTGAAAGTGCTGATTCTCATCCTGTTGATGTTTCAAAAGTAGAGGCTGAAGTTGAGAATGTCCTTGTTGCACCAAGTGGCCATGCTAATGATGTGAATCTAGATATTGGGGCTAGTTCCCATTCCATTGAATCTGATGAGAGAGTATCTAATTTGTCAATCGGTAATGTGGATGTAGAATCTGAAGTCACAGAAGCAGTGAACGAAGGTGATAGCAACAGAACTTCTGTTTCCTTTGACAATCCAGATGGAGAAACCTTTAAATGTGATTCAACTGGGAATGAAAGCTACATGCCCAAAAATGAAGTCCAAGCAGACTCAGAAGTTGAAAATATATCAACTGCAGCAAGGGAAGAAGTGCCCAACAGAGATGGCGTTGTGTCTCAGCTTGAGGGTGAGGTTGGTAAGAATGAAACTCCCAAACCTACTTTGGAAGACTCTGCTGTTGTTACCTCTGATGAGCAATATGTTGTTGCTGAGCTGGGGAAAGGGCCATTCTACATAATTAAGGTTCCAAGATTTGATGAAAGAAATTTAAGAGAGAAGGTTGAAGATGCTAAATTTCAAGTTGAGGAGAAGAGTAAAATCCGGGATGCTATTCAAGCTCAAATCCAAATAATAAAGGTTAGATTTTTTTTTTGCAAATGCTCCATTATACATCTGAAATATTTTAATTATTTTCTGTCAACATGATTGGTGAAATGTTTCCCTGTTAGGCCAAGCGTAAAGAGTATGAAGAAAGCTTTTTAGATGCCAGATCAGAAGAGAAAGCTGCACGTGACTTGCTTAAGGCCAAGCGGAAGGAAATAGATTCTGTTCAATATATAATTAACAGAACGAGGAATGTCCTTGAAATTGAGGAAATTGATGGCAGGGTATGCATGTTTCATATTTGTTTTTTTAATATTTATTTCCAGTTTCTTAACACGCAAGTTCAAAAGTTATTCTAAAATGCTTTTGAAACATGCAAATGTGCTACTATTTTGGCACTTAATTGGCTGCAAACAGATACGCTCTATGGAACACAAGATACAACATGAAACCCTGCCTTTGAAGGAAGAAAAGCAGTTCATTCGTGATATCAAGCAGTTGAAGCAGATTCGAGAGCAGCTCTCTTCTAATATGGGCAGCCAGGATGAAGTTCAGCAGGCTATGGATCAGAAAGATCAAAGTGAAGAGCGCTTAAAGGTAGTATTTGCTGTTACTGTCATTGCTTAGCTAGGGTCATTTCTGCCAGGTGCAGTACCAGTTGACTGCTGTCTTCTACTGATTGTAGTGGAAGTGGAATACTGACTCCAAGACAATTAGTGTTCCAGAAACCTAATAATCAATTGTTTTTTTTCCTTCACTTTATTAGTCACACAGACAGGTCATTTATTATTGAAGTAGCATGGTTAACTTGTTGAATTGTATATTTGCATACAGTCTTTGAGGAAAGAAGCAGATGCATTGAGAGACAGCCTTCTCAAAGCTGAAGCAGTCACTGAAGATGCTAAGAAGAAATATAATGATGAACATGAGAAGATAAATCAATTGCTATTTCAGCATAGAGCTGCTAATGATATACGACAAGAGGCATTTGCACATTTACAGAGTTTGAGGAGACAATTATACGAAAAGGTATGCTACTATATTGTTTGCATGTGCATATTTTGAATTTTTTAGGTTAAGAACTTTTGATAAAACTGGAATCGTTCTGCTGTGGTGATTTAAGAAAAAAAATTATGACAAGCAGAATACCTTGAATATTCTGTTATAAAGTCATGAATGTTGATATAATCTTTTCTATTGAGTTGGTGTCAGTAGGCGAGCACAAGGTGATTAAGACTTTAATTGAGTTTTTGGTTGAACATAGATAAGGAAGCACTATAGGAAATAAATTTAACTACAAAGGATCTGGAGTTGATGAGGCGATGAAACTTTTGCAAACAGTGTTCAATGTGCTATGCCCTCTGAATTGTATGTCACTAGTGTTTCCTCCTTTTTTGTTATTCCCACTGCATACTAGCTTTATACACGGGGGAACACAGTTTGATATGTTTTATTCTTCAAATCTCTCCCTCTTGTTTGTTGCGAGAAAGGTTTGGTAGCTACTGTAATAACTACTTCCTTTATTAAATGCCTGCTGCAAATAATAATTTTAGGTTTGTGTCTGAAGCAAAGATTAGTCAAATTACGCAAACTGAATAGGCTAACGCTACATTTCCCTTGAATTCGCAGAGTAAATTTTTTTACAAGTACAAAGATGATTTCACAACAGCAACTAATTTGGCATTGAAGGGAGATAAAGAGGAACTTCAACGTCATTGTGCTAACCAAGTGAGTAAATGCAGTTTTACTTTTTCTTTTTGTCCTTTTCTTTTCTATTCTCAGCCGTGTTTTGACTTATTAATCTACAATTTAGGTGGAGAGAGTTATGGAATTATGGAATAACAATGACGAGTTCCGGAAAGAGTACATGAGTTCCAACATGAGGAATACATTGAGGAGACTGCGGACATTGGATGGTCGTGCACTGGGCCCTGATGAACAGCCTCCCATTATTCCAAATGTTGTTAGTCAAAGAGTGACCAAACACAATGTTGCACCATCAGCTCCTCCTCTTGAAGTAGAAAAGCCAGTTACACCTGTGGAGACCCAAAGGATAGATGAAAAATCCACAGCGAAGCTTGGGGACAAAAAGAATCAGACTGTTAAAACTAAAAAGCAGGCAAACCCTGCTTCCTTGGAGAATGGTTTGCCAACTGTTTCTGGCAGAGATCAGATTGAAGAATCAAGAAAAGAGGAGAATAAGCTTACAAAGGAGGAAGAATCAAGGCAAGAGAATAAGCTTACAAAGGAGGAAGTTGAGTTAGCCAGGAAGATAGAGGACTTGAGGAAGGAAAAGGAAGCAGCCATGTTAAAGGAGCAACGGAGATTGGAGGAGAAGGCCAAAGCAAAAGAGGCAATGGAGAGGAAAAAACGAAATGCAGAAAAGGCCCAGGCCAGGGCTTTGCTAAGAGCGCAAAGGGAAGCTGAGCAGAAAGAGAAGGTAAATTCCGAAAATTTTCCTATATTGAGTATGGTACTATCGATGTCATTCCAACCTTGCAAATATTTGGCCAAAATTTGTCAGTGTGTTAAATTTTGTATTTTAGCTATTTTCCCTGTTTTTCTGCTATCAGATATATTGGCATGTTAGAATTTAGTCTTTAGTCCTTTGCTATCAGATATATTGGCATGTTAGAATTTAGTCTTTTGGCTGTTCAGTCTAGTCAATTAATTGGCTGGGGAACTATACATTAATGTAGGAAAAGGAGAAGAAGGCAAAGAAGAAGGAAAAAAAGAAGGCAGCAGCGGAGGATACTAAAGATACCGATGAGGTTGAGTCTGTTCCTAGTTCTGAAACTCCAACTGAAACCAATGAGTCTGAAAGGACCGAGAAGCCTCTGACTGTGGCAAAGAGGCCTCAAAAGCAAACAAAGGCAAAATCTATGCCTCTGCCTCTTCGCAACAAGGGTAAGAGAAAGATGCAAACATGGATGTGGGCCCTTATCACACTGCTGGCTGTTATTGCCTTGTTTTTTATGGGGAACAGCAGCTTCTTTAATCTTGGGCTGCAACAAAGGTTTGGCATCTAAATATATAATATTGTTTTTCTTTAGATAATAATCCACATTCTACAGAGAGGTTTGGCGGGGTTTTCCTATAGATATTTAATTAAGCAATTCTTTTGTACTCTTCCAGTGTTCTTTTCCATCGAAGTATGATTTACTTACTCTCTGGGTTTTATTTCATACACCCCATTAATAGGTTGGTTTTTTCTGTTATATGCCAACATTAACACATGTTCTGGTATTGCTTTCATTTATTTAGTGTGCTATATATAATACAATAAGTTTTTTGGCCTCTCTTTCTGTGAATTTGTGAATTCTACTGCTGCCTGTCGAGAAAACCAATGATTTCAAATGATGTATGTTAAGGCTTCATGCTAATCAACTGAATGATTGAATGCATTCAAAATCCCTACAAGATTCCTGATGAGCTGTTAGCTGCTTTACTCTTGTATCTTTGTCCTACCATCTCAATCTCTTCATTCTGCTACCTTTTAGCATCGTCATCTTCAATCTCTATCGCCCCTCTAACATCAACATCCTCAGTTTCTTCAACCCTTGGCATCAATTCCCATTCCTTTTGTGTGAACAGCCATTGAGTGTTTGTTCTGGGTCCCCCCCCCTTCGTTTCTTCGTTTACAACAAGGAATGCGGTTGAATATCGCATCATAGCATACCATACCCAGATGGCATGCCTCTTCACGCAAGAATCTTTAAGCCCATCCAAGGAACCACAAGACTACAAGAGCTACACCACCTCGTTACTCACTGCTATGCTTTAGTGCTGCAGTACAGATGCATCCGTGATAAAAAATGGCTGGGAGGTTGGAATATGATAAAAGTATGGAACTTGAGAAAACTTCCAAGCAAGAGCTGTCCTCATTGTCTAGCTTAAGGTCAATGACGCCTCCCAACGATCAAGGACAAAAAAAAAAAAAAAACCCTTAGAAATATGAAGAATTAGGCTCATCAACGTTGTTCATTCAATCATATTGGCTATTAAGGAACAAGACATGGACTTTTTTCTTTTTTTTTTTCCATTTATCAAAACAAGTAAAGAGGAAGCTTATTGTACAAAACTTCACAATGAAGAAAACATAACAAGAATTCACACCCCAATGCATAGAAGCATGTAGTTGGGAAAGACGCCACATAAAGTGGCAAAATCGACAAAATTCACACCAGCCACGCCACTATCCCAAAACAACAACCCCTCGTGGAAACACACCATTTTCGCCACCAGTTTGTTTTGTCCTAGTGGAGCGAAGGGGATTTACAAATACCAAAAAAAAAAGAAAAGAAGAAGAAAAAGAAGAAGAAGTTAGAAGAAAGAAGCAAAAGAGAACATCAGCACAAGTACATCAACGCGGGTTAATTTATAATCATTATTCGGCAATTCGATGTAAATTTATTTACTTTTTAATTTGTTGAGTTATACTTCCTTTATTTTTATTTTACATCTAATATTTAAAATTGTTGATAATATTATTTTTTTGTGTCTAAAAAAATATCACATCTTATATTTTTATCTATTAATCTTTCCTCATCAACCTCTATTGTCATTGATATCTAACATCTAGTTCTCTTTGATAATTGTGAGTCTTTATTTGTTACATTATATTTGATTTAAGAATTTAATAATACATACTTAAAATTTTATTGGTGCATCTTGTTCTTAATTAATCCTCATATTAAAAAAATAAAATTAATTTTTTTTTTGTATTGTAATTTCATTTGCACGAATCATATATAATCTCAATTTTATTTCTAAACTAGAGTTTCATGCAATTGAGAATAATAATTTAAAATCTAACTTTAAGTTTATAACTACCATGAGTTTACCTTAAATGATATATTTAGAACCAATCATGAATAAAACACCGTAAAGTTTAAAATAACTAGATTAGGTATAGTTAGATATGTCTTGACACAACTTGAGAAAACTGAAGATTGGTGACTATCTTTCAAAATTATATCAAATGTAGGGATAAGGGTTACAAGAGCATTATTGATAATAGAAATTATATCAATGCAATATCTTTAAATATTGTAGCTCCTTAGGCCTAAAACTTGTTCTCCATTCTAAGTTATATAATATGTCATGGTTTATAATTCCTCCAATTGTAGTGAATGAGAAATATTTGTTTTTTTTTTTTTATCAAATTCTTAAACTATCAAGATGAGATTTTGTGTAATATGATGCCAATGAATGTATGACATGTCATTTTAAGAAGGCCATGAATATATGATTTAGATGTCACTATTTCTACTTGATCAAATTCATGTTCTTTTACTTTTAAAGGTAGAAAGATCAAACTCATTGGATTACCATGAATATATGATTTAGATGTCACCATTTCTACTTGACCTAGCAATAAGAACAAGAAAAAAAAAAGAACGTGAATGAACAAGGACTTAACACTATGAATCTAAATGAGTTTGAAAATAAGATTAATAAAAAATATAATAATTTTGCTTTAATAATGAATGAAGAAGTTTTAGGATACTTTTTAGTGGAATCACCATAGAGATAAATATAGTTTTAGAAGAGTATCTTGATATTAGTCATTTTAAATTACTTAATTCTCCACCCATCAAGCTTGATGTCCATCATGTTAAAGATTTTGAGCAACATGCTCTTTACCTCCCATGCTTGATGTCTAATATGTCATAGGTTTAGAGCAATATGTTGAGCTTCTTAATCCCTTGACCATGACATGTGATGAGGAAGATAGAGATAATCTTAATTTTTTAGGTTATTTCTTAATTGTATCTTTTTAAGGCTTTAAATAGTGTTTGCTCTACTCCATACCCTTAGTTGTATAATGTTCATAGTTACGAACCTAAGAAGCATGTATATCTCCTTTCAAAGGGTGAAGCTAGGAATTTTATTTTAGAAGGGCTAATTAGAGAAAAAATTAGGGGGGTAAACATTAAATTTTTTTATTCTTAGGGCTAAAAACCTAATTTGTTAAAGGAGATGGGTTGGGAAATATTTTTTTCCTTGTAGGTTTGGGACCCTTACCAGCTCCTTCAATTCCGCCCTTGCTTATTTCTATGTCTCCCCACTTTAAAATGTTTGATTAAGCTAAGTTTTTTACATGTAGAGTTTATAATTTGTATGTTGAGATTATAAGATAAATTCAAGTAATGCATAATATAAATTTCAAGCTGATTTATATAAGTATCATGATTCATTTAATGTTGAATATTATTTAATGATACAAATTAGTCTTAAACAATGTCCTTTATAAACCACTCATAAATTACAATTAAGTAGTGCTAGACCATTCAAAGTGTTGTATATGATTGAATTAAATAGTTATGTTATTAAAATGTCACTAAACTTTGATATTAATTTTACTTGTGACAAGAAGAACCTTATTATATAAAACATAATAACCTATCCCTGATGATTATTTTGAGAACCTTATCCTATTATCTTTATCTTTGGCATAATAGGAACATATTATGCTATTTTAGATGCACAAGTTTACCCTATTATTTTAAGAACCTTACCCTATTATCTTTATCTATGACATAATAGAAACATATTATGCTATTTTGGATGCACAAGTTTATCGAGGATGATGAACTAAAATGAATTCTAGTATATGAGTTAGACGACCAGATTCAAACTATACTTGGATTATAAAAGATACATTATGACAACTTAATCCTTATATTTAGGAGTATTATTGGAGCTGTGTTGAACTGTACTCAACGGGGTTAAGTTCTTCCAACATCGAGAGAGTTGATGAGGATATTAGACTTTTATCGAGCTTATATTATTGAAAATTAGACTCTTATTAAACTATGCTCGACGTGGTCGAGTTCTTATATGTTCTTCATATGATCCATAATGATCGAGGATAGTTCAACCCTTATGTTATGGATTTTATTCAAGTTTATTTAGTGAGCTTAATTTTGTTATTTTTAGATGTTTTATTTAGTGTGCTATAAGCCAAGTTGTTTCTTCTAGTTAGAGTTTAAGTGTGTGGTTGTGTGTATACATGTTAGGTAATTTTTGATGAATTGAATAAAATTTACAAAGTTGCAGACTTTTCCAACTCTTATTCTTTCTCTTCTTCAACTTTATGTTATCTTTTATTGGCTTCTTTTTCTTAACTTCTTATTTTTTTTTTTGCTTCAAATATCTTTCTTGTCTTGAATTAGTTAGCCATACAAATTGCTCAAAGGCTTCGAAATAGTATGTTGAACTTAACACATAAACAAGATGTAAGTTGGCACATCTAAACCTAAAGTTTCAAAACTAGAATCATTTGGAGGCGTGAGGTTAAGGAGTTGAAAAGCTTTTTACAGGACATGAAACATTGTTTCTACATTGGCAAGATGAGTTTGGAGTAATAAGTGGACATCTTGATAATGTATTTTATGGGTGATGAAAAGTTATGATAGAAAACCAGGTATAAGAAGGATTTGAACATTGGATATCCCAAGACTAAGACATGGAAGTGTTTGAAACATGAGATGAAATAATAGGTCTTACCTAATAAAACATCTTGAATTGCAAGGGAATACTAGAAGGAGTTTAAGCAAGATAAGCCGATGAGGGATTATGTTAAGATATTTAGTTCTGTAACTAGATTTGTGGCCTATGCTTTATCGTGGGTAGATCAATTTTTTTTAGTGTAAAAAAATGCTAAATAAGAAAACCCAATACCAAATTCAATGATTCAATTGGTAATTTAAATAATATGAATTAAAAAATATAACAAAATTGATAATTAAAATGATATGAATTAAAAAAATATAACAAAAAAGAGGCACAAAAAATTGAGCCCATCTAAGGCTTAAAAAACCAATATTTAAGGTCAAAAATAGAAAAAAATACAAGTTAGAAAAAAACACCCAGTTAAATTGAGTTAATTTACAAACTCCATAATAATAAATATAAGATTGAAATAACTTCATAGAAAAATAAACAAGAAAAAAAACCACTTGAAAGGAAAGGAAAAAAAAAACATGAAGATCAATTTTCAATACATAAATACTGAATGATAAAATAAAAAAATAAATTTAAAAATTAACTAAAAAAAAAGTCAACCCGCGTTAACATTTGAAACCGGTGTCTCTTGCTATGAATCCGAGACTAACCCTATAGAAGTTAAACTGAAAAAATAACAAAGTAAAACTCTATAAAAAAAAAGGTAAAAAAATCAACTTAAAAAGGAAAAACAAAACCTAAGCAAATCTTCTAAACTTGGTTGAATCTCAAAAACTCGCAATTTGTGAAATTTGAGACTCGAATTGAATTAAAAAGCTTAATTTTAAATCAATTTAGTTTTGAAAGATGAAATCGTGAAAAAAAATATTAATTTTATAAACTTGTAAAGGCAAAAGGAAAGCAATAAAAATTATGAAGATCAAATTTGATATAAAAACATCATAAAAGATGAAATTGTAAACATAAAATCTAAAAATAATCCCCAACAAAACACATAGCAATAAAAAAAATAATTACCAAATTTAAAAGATAAAAAATGAAAAAGGATGAAAATGAAAAACAAATATAATTTTATGATGCAATTATGTTTTTATTTATTTTTTTAAAATATGACTTTGGGTAAAGACAATCGAGAAAAAAAAACCCTAATATATGGATAAACTTTTTTTAAAAAGAAGAAAAATGATAAAAAAATACATGATTAAAAAAATCATAAAAATAATGAATGAATAATAATAATAAAAAAATTTAATCACCAATAATATAAATGTTGAATGATAAAATTAAAAAAATATTAATTGTTTTAAAATATACCTATATAAAGTTTAAAAAAACTTTCTAAACTCAAACAAATATCTTAAATTTATAACCTATTAAACCATACAACTTTGCCGAATCAAGTTTTATTTATGAAAAAAAAGGATGAGCTCAAGAGAAGTGCCAGCTTTATGGAAACATACCTGCGGGTGGATTTTGGCAAGTGGGATTGCCAAGAGGATGATCAAAACTTTGTGTATAACTAGGGGGGTGTTGCATTCAAATTTATAGACATGGCATGGCATAAGCAGCAAGGGAGCTTCACACCTTTTTCGTTCCAGGGAGATTAAAGGAGACGAGCAAGGCCCTAAAAAGGAGCGAAGTCACAACATGCCTCTATAATGGTTCAAAAGAGGTTGACAATGGGATCGTCAAGTTCCTCTTAGTAGAATCAACGGAATGAGTTCTAGTTGCATAGGTGCTGAACCAGGATGTTTATGTGGGAGGAAACACCTAATTGTGATAGCTGGAAGAGAAGGTGCAGGCACGAGTACCTTAAGTTTGATCCAAGGAGGGCATTCAACTCATCTGGTGGGGAGATTCGTTAGACGGTCAATGCGCCAGGGGTGCACAGTGAGAGCATACTACTAGGAAGATGCCATGAGCAGCGGCAGACCCTGTCGACGGTCATGAAATCAGCAGGCATCGTGCAATTATCCACGCGACCATTGTGCTGGCGTGAATATGAACTCGGGGGATGGATTGTCCAAGTTCTGCAAAAACACATCAATTCTGGCAGTAGAGGTATTGGCAGATTGGCCCGAGAGAGAGGGACCAAGGAAGTTCCGGCGATTATGAGCAGTTATCAACAATTATTTGTACGGATAAACTGGACAGAATTTAGTTATCTTTCTAAATGTTTGCTGAAAAATATGAGGCAGCACCCTTCGTAACTTTCATCGAATGGTTATATAAATGGATTGTAGCTTAAGGCCAATTACAACTCCCAAAGAAAGGAAGGGGAAAGAAAAACCCGTAGAAAACGTGCAGAATCAAGCTTATCAACGTTTTTCATTCAACCATGTTGGCTATTAAGAAAACAAGATCTGGACTTTTTTTTCATGTATCAATCCAAGCAAAGAAGAAGCTTATTTTACAAAACTTTAAAATGAAGAACAAACAACGAAAATTTCATTTTCCTAGCATTAAGCACAAAACGGAGCATGTAATTATACTTTTTATAACGAGTCTTCAGTTTTTCAATTCACAATTCAAGCGATGACCGCAGAAGCGCTATTGCTGTTGCCTCCATAAATTCTGCCAGTCCGTTCCTCTGGATTGTAATCCTCCAGGATTTTAAACTCTTTTAAGGGTGATCTTTATTGCGAGATCAATCAAAGAAACACAATGAAACACAATGGTTACATAGTGAGCAAATTATATGGATGATAGCTTGTTTGCTGGCCAACTGAAAATATAAGAAATAAGAGAAGTGAGGGTAGGGCAGGGCTGGAGATGACATGTACTGTTCCTTTATATCCTTTTTTTTCCTGGGAAAAAAAGACAAGTATAACATTAATGGTGGTTTAACCCCATGCTATTAGAAAAGGTAGCCACAGTATCATCAAGATGAACATCTTTACAAAGTTATATGTCATCCGCTGCCATGCAGTATTTTACAAAGACGTGACTGCTCTTTGGATGAAGGTTGAAACAATCAACTTTTTCAATTAAAAGGCTCCAAGTGTGCATAGAATGTTTGTGCATGGGTATGCTATGATACAAGTATCGAGTTTTATATCAAGAAGATCACTTGGATAAAAAAGATAAAATCCAACAAAAATAAATGGATTCAGGAGGGCAAAAAATCATAGTCTTGCTGTTTGAAGTAATTCAATGCTACTCAATAAACACTTCTAAGTACTATTAGGCCTTACTACGAGCTTCCAATGTTAGCTGGTTTCATCAACCTCATTCCTGCTCCTCCATTGCTTGCCCATGCAAGAATCGTGGATCTCCATCTGATTTGAGGGGAAAAAGGTGCAAGAGTTTTAGAGAAATGAACATGAATAATCGTTAGGAGGGCAAACTACTTGTCAGATGCTTCATTATAGTTTTACTTGTAATTAGCTGACGAGTCCAAGCAAAGCCTTCCATTGGCAAGTGCTTTAGACACCAGGTAGGTTTTTAACTGCTCTTTCAATGTTATTTCCAACAATCCAAAAACAGTAAAAAATATGCCCCACTTACTGGTACCCCACTGATGTTATTTCCTAGAGAATTGGACACCGCATCTTTAATTTATGAAGCATACAACGAGTGGATAGCAATTAAGTGGAGTATATCTATTCATATTCCACATTTAATCACCCAAAAAGCGAAGGAAAAATTAAATGTTTTCCTAGATGCAAGAAAACAATAATTTCTATTAGCCCCCGGTGAAACTATTCACTTAAACACAGGATATTGCCAGCTCCAAAGAAACAAAATATGCAGCAAGATGCAAACATATCTAAAATGTAAACATATTTATTACCACTTTCTCCGTCAGATGCATCTGCGAGCCTTGCAATTGCATCAACAAGTGCTTGTTCATGCTCCTGCATCAAAATACCAGTCAAGTCTGCCGTTCTAAAAAACCAACAGTTAGTCTGTTCTCAGCATGATATACAAATTATCTTACTTTTAACATTTTTTTAGCCTTCTCGAGCTCAAGAGGATCAGGATAGCTGACACCAAAAACCCTCTCCACCTGTTTAAGGTTTCAACGACAAATGAACAAGGTAATGTTTACACATAATAAATGTAACAAATTCCAAGCTATTTCACACACCTCCTTAACTAGGGACTCTGTGTTGAGCAATTCGATGTTGTCAGAAAGTTTCCTTGCAATACCATTCTGTGTTCGAAAAAATTCCCTTTTTGATTGATCCTTAGTGGATCCCCTCCCTCTTACAGAACTTGAAATAAGACCACCATGGCTCACAGATTTTTTCATTACATGGCCTGGCCTGCCATGAGAAATTCCAGGATCCACAACTTCCCAACGAAGGTCCTCTGGAGCCATCTGTAAAAAGAACAGGAGACCATTCCTTTTTTAAGAGAGTAAAGACAACATGGATAAACAAATGGAAGCCACACCCAAGCCTCTCTTTTCAGTTTTTTTATTTATATGGTATGAGCATCAAACCAAATTACAATTCTAGCACTTGGCTATTTCCAAAAAACTTTTCAGAATAGAAATATTGGAACATTATACAAGCAATTATTGGGAATCAGAAGAAGAATACATAATTCAACTTCTCACCCCTCAACAGACTGGAAGGTAACACCACCCATACCGATCCCATCCAAACCTTCAGCTCTAAAACATGGCTCAAGGTTAATAAAGATACCTAAGATCCCTAAATCAACCAAAACAACCTCGTGCGAACAGAGATAGAGATGGGGGTTGAATACACTCAATACCTGATCAGCAGAAAATCTCTCTCTAAAAGAGTACGCAACTTACTTTCCAAGAAAAACTACAAAACCATGCACCAACAGCCCCATCTTCAACCTATTGCTAGACTCATTGTTCACCAGCCATACCAATCCCATGACACAATTCCAACTCAGAATTGATTTTTTTCTTTTTCTGTGCATGTGTCTGTGGGTGGGCACTGCAGGAAGTTACAAAGTGCACATTTTACACGCGTGTGAAAATAATCTTGGCAGTCATACAGATTTACAAATTCTATCGTCTTTGTGTAAAATGGCTGCTGCAAAAAGGTGGTGACTAAGTAGGAGGATAAGTATTTTAGCTCATGAAATACTATAAACTTACCTCATTGAGATCAACCCATTCCCATGTCTCATTTTCAGTATTCATATCATAGACCAGAGCATGTCGAGCCTGCAAATATCAAAATCTAGTCACTACAGCTGAACATCCACCACCTAAAGAATTACTAAAAACAGCGAACATACAGGGAACCATAACAAGAAAGTATTTATGTTGTTTTCAACATACAAATTAACAGAATATTATGACAGAAGAAATATAAAACAAAGAGCCTTTTAACAACAGAAACATGAATATTGAAACAGAGATAAAGAGGTCATGTTTCTTCACAAGGGGAGACTTTCACAGCTGCAAAAGTAAAATCTTGAGCTGGCCATTGCTTTCAGAACATGCTAAAAATATCTTTTACTTGTGACCACCATTGCTTCATTCTATGATGCAACTCAACAAGAAATATCAAACATGCCTTTTAAAACCTCAAACATACCTCAGCAGGGTTATATCTAGTTATGACAGCCTTGTAGAAGTTGTTGTCCTCAGGCCATCTTGTCCACACTTCTTTTCCAATTTCCTTATCATCATAGGCGGAACCACGGTTGTTGAAATGTTGATTTCTGGGCGGACCAGCGGGGTACTGCATAAAATTAAATAAAGGATACGTTAAGGCATGGTTGACCCGGCAAAAGAAAATGGGAGGAGGAAATGCAAGTGAAGACAACGCATTTTTAAAGTTATATCACAAAAAGTCAGTGCACAGAACTAGGTTTTCTACTATGGGATTAGCAGCTTTTCAGTTTGCAGCTGAAGATGAATGCATGGATCAAGGTATTGATGAAGGTTACAAAGACAGTGTCATTGCATGAAATACTAGAGAAAATACCACCAGGGAAGTCTTCTGTTTTTTACGGGATGCAGAAACAGTGGGACTGGACAAAACATCATGAACAGACTGTGAAGCAATGAACCTGGGAACTTGCTGGCCACCTGCCTCTCGCCACTCCCTATACCATTACCAAGACTTTAGCCATTCCATACAAGTTATACTGATAATCAAGTTTTAACAAACTCATAGAGCATTCAAACCTTATCCTTTGAATGATATCATCTCTATTGACCAATGTTAAGATCTCTCTGTGTTCATCATCTGACACCCTGAGCTCTTTCCTAAGTTCTGTAATCAAACCCTCCTTATCCTGAAAAAAAAGACATTGCAGAACATCTAAATCTTATCACATATAAGAACGTTTCCCCCTTCTTATGATATGGGAAAAAAATTAATCCTTAAGTATAAGAAGATACACCAACAGAGAAAGTCATTACCCAAGAAAGTTGATCAGACTGAGCCTTAAAAGCACGAAGTACAGCCCTATATGCTTCTTGTTCGAGATGATGAATTTGGGCCTCCATGTCAGCTTGAACTCTAGAATATGTTGCAGAAATTACAGCTGATTGCCCACTTCCTGGAGCTCTTCCTCGTCTTACAAGTCTATTTTGATTTGAGGGCGGGAGATCATCATCAGTACCTGCATTTTCCGCAAATTCTTCCACTAAACATCCATAATTCTATAATTCCTAATTCAATCTTCATGCAACATATCAGCTTCACATGCACAGAATCACATTGAAGCTCAAAACATTGTGATGTAAATACGAATTTGTTTCTTTCACTTTAAATTCTAGAAGCATATTATTACATATTCAATGACATTTGGCAGCAAGGTAAATCTGGCACAATCTAAATCAAGTGAAACAAAAACCAGAATCAAATTCTGATGCCAATTGCCGTCCAAAAAATAATCACACAGTCAAAACTCAACTCAATCTCCAAAATGAAAACACTATTCCACATTCAAACTCTAAACCCTAATTCCTCCAAAACCCACGTCCCAAACTCCCTCCATATCACAGACTCGCCATAACAACAATACCCCTATTAAAGTTATGAAATTTAAAACCCTAGATCACAAAAAGCAAACCCACATAATTCTTTGAAAAGAAACAAGAAGAGAGATTGAATAACACTGATAAAACAACAAACTTCATGTTGCATACAAGGTGACAAAAGCAATTCAGGGAAAGAAAAATAAAACAAAACTGAGAGAAGGAAACAAAAGAACATACCACTACTGTCTGAAACCTCATATTCCATAACAAGAAGAATCACATGAAAGATGCGATTTTTTCTATTCCATTGCAATTCCCAATAATCAAGACTTAAATTTGAGAGGTCTTTCAAAGGTTAAGAAATGGGTTTCTTCAAAATTCTTTATGGGAGGGAGCAGGGTTTTGAGAAAAAGAAGAAATGGGTTAAGAGAGCGGAGAGAGGAAGAGGCAAAGGAAACGACTTTTATAGTTGTTCTTGTTGGAGAGTCTTGGGTCTTGCTCTAACGTCTCTGAGCTGCGTATCTTATATATAGAGAATTGCCTTGGCCTGCTATGAAACTGGATGGTGGGGTTCTTTTTGACTTTTTACTTCCTAAATAAACCTTTTTTTTCCCTGTAGATTCATCAATCTACCCCAGCAGTTTATAATTTTCTAATAGTGCCCATCTGGTTTCCAAGAGTTTCAATGAAACCCCTGACTATTAAATAGCCTTCTTTTTTAATTTTCCTTTTGAATTATTTTTAGGTTTATATGAGATATTATAATTTACTTATTGGACAAGCTCGACATGAAAATGATAGAAAATAATAATAATAATAATAATATAGTAAAAAGAAAAAAAATAAATTTGATTTTGTATATTATTCGTTAACCTTAAAATGTATGGAAAACCATAGGAAAACATTTGGAAAATTTAAATTAGAGGTTAGAAGTGAAACTTTGACAAATTTTAAAGGATAAAAATATAGTTTACCTAATTTTGAAAGTATTAGTAATAATAAAAAAAGAAGACATTATTAACTAAAGTTTTACTATACTCACATTTTTCATTATCTTACATTAAATTGTTCACCCCATTGTTTATATCTAAAATTTCCTTTTAGATTTATGAGTCTTTTTTTGCACTTCAATTCTTAAAATTTATTTATTTATATTTCAGTGTTTCTAATTTATATTTTCATCATTTGATGTGTTGACTTTATTTTGCATTGTTATCTTGCATATGCCATATGACAAAGAGTGTTACTAAATTACACTAAATATTGATATTATCAAATACAATTATGAGGTTAAATTAAAAAATTAATATTAAAAAAAAGAATTGATATTAACAAAAAAACCTTTTTTTTTTCCAATTCAAATGACATTTTACACTTTAATCCCTGTAATTTATTACTTTTTATCTTTCAATTATAAAACTTTATTATTTTTTATTTTCAATCCATAGTTGCATAGTTGTTGAGGAAAGAAAAAGAAAATTATTAAATAAGGAAACGAAGAGAGAAAACTCTTAAGTAACCAAGTTTCATCCACCAATGACTCTGAATTTGATGGTTATAAAATCTTCTTTAAGAGAAAAACTCCATAAAGGTAGTCTTTATATTTAATCATGTTGGAAAAAATAAATCAAAGCTTTAATTTGTTTTTGAGTTTTCATATCAATTAAAATATGTGGTTTTAAATGAGATTTTAGAGGTTTATAGGATTTTATTTTTCCATATTTTTAGATAAAAAAAATGTTAAAACTTCTGTGTTTGGATTCAAAAACTCACAATTTGATTTTTCAACGATCCTGTATGATTGAGACTTGTTATAGAGAAATAACTTGTTATTCACTATTTTGAAAAAAAAAAAAATTATGGCTTGGGTTCAAAAGTCTAAGAGAACTATATTTTTAAAAAAATTATTTTTTTTATAATTAAATTATAGCTTGGGTTCAAAAGTCTAAGAAAACTATATTTTTAATTTTTTTTTTATAATTAAAATTATTTTGATATGCTGATTTTAAAAAATAAAAAAATTATTTTGAACCCAAGTAGATCTCCATATTTTTATGACTTGTGTATATATATTTTAAATGTAAATGATGTACATGATATCATTTAGACGTTGTAGTTAAAAATAGAAGATTTTATCTCGTTAAATTATTTACAAAAGGATTTATTTGATAAGATTTTAAAACTTTAGGGAATAGTTTTTTTATTAATTAATTCAATATTAAAAATTTAAGGGGGACATTGAAATAATAGACACCTTAGAGGAAAAAACCAGAATTGCCTTAAATCTCAATAAAGTATATTGAAATTAACCCTTCATAAATCACTACCTCTAAGATTTGAAATCTATTTTCTTTCATATATATCCATGATATTGATTCTGTACTGAAACAAAAATCAACAACAAATTTTGAAAAAAAAAAAAAGTTTTCAAAACCAGTGTAGCAGTTTGTTAAGTGGTGTTTGGTATCTTTGTGTTCTTGATTTTTTCAAAAACATTAAACCTAAAACTTTTAATGGCACCAATCACCCTCTCACATTATCAGCATATGTTTTGGGAATGAAATTGGGTTCGAGTGTCAGGAAATGAGCATGGATTGGGGAGCATGACTCAACGCCCTCGAGATTCAATCTCGAACGCAATCCGAGGTGTCTAGCTTTCAGTCAAGACTGTTGCTTAGGTGATTAGGGTTTATACCAGTATTTGGTTCAAGATGTCTTGGGTGTAGATCGGCACTTGGTTTAGAAAAGGATTAACATAAGTAATTATATAAAAATATATTTTTTAAAAATCTATTTAACAAAATTAGAAAAATAGGAATACTCAATAATACTCTAAAAATAAACAATAGTAACAAATAAATAAGTTAACTAAAAAATATATTCACCTAACCTAGAAAACATATTTCAGAACCCATAGATATCAAGTAACAAATAAATTATTTTAATTGAAATTGAACAATATAATTGAAAAAAAATCCAACTACAATCCAACAAAATTAATCTCATATGAAAAAATTCTTACAATAACATTCATATAATTATTATGAATAAAAAACAAATACAATGTAAAAAAAAACACAAAAAAAGAAGAAAAAAAATCTTGAATGAAGCTGAGAAAATAAAAGAAAAAAACAAATTCATAAAGTAAGTTAATTGAAAAATATTGAGAAAAGAAAAGAAGATGAGAGGAGAAGAGATACTTGTATATGGAAGAGAAGAGAAGAGAAGATAGGAGAAGGAATTGAGGAGAGAAGAGAACAAAAAGAAAAAAGAACATTGGTGTTTTGAACACAAGCGACGAAGAAGGAAAAGAAGAAGAAGAAGAAGAGTACACAAGCGACGAAGAAGGAAAAGAAGGAGAAGAAGAAGAAGAAGAAGTGTATCTGTTATAAAATAAGGGATTTAGTCTTTTTATTAGGAAATTGTACTTATGTTTTTACCGATTAATAATTAAATATTAATATTTTTAACCATTCTATTAATGATTCTGTTGGTATTATTTAATTTAAATTTTCAATTTAATTGAAACTTTTCAGAAACCTCCTAAATATTACTAATGACTTTTCAATCTATCAATGATCCCGTTTATAATATTTAATTAAAATTTTTAATTTAATTGAAAATTTTCAGAAACCTCTCAAATATCACTGACAACTTTTTAATATGTCGATGATTCTATCTGTAATATTTAATTTAAATTTTTAATTTAATAAAAATTTTCCAAAAATCCCCCTAATATCACCAACAAGTTTTCAGTCCGTCGTTGATTCTGTCTGTAAAAAACAGTAATTAATAGTGCAATTGAGAAATAAACAATATTAGAGCTCTCTAAAAAATAATGAAAAAATTAATTTGTCAGTGAATCTGTATGTAATTGACAACATAAATAGTGTAATTGAGAAGTGAATAATTTTAAAGATCTTTGAAATATATTGATATAATTTATTTATTGGTGATACTCTCTATAATTAATATAATCAACAGTGTTAGTGATAAGAGAATAATTTACCAATGGTATTTAATATTGTCGATAATGTCATTTATATAAATAACATGTCATTGTTTTTTTTATTTTTTTAATTTTTTTCTATGGTAATTTCCTTGATATATACCGAGAAATAGTTTCATTGATCTCTAGCGATGAATACAGTAACAAGATATTCTATTAGTAAAATTTCTAATAATCTGTCAATGAAAATATTATGTTGATGTTTTTATTTATATTTATTAATTTTTAGTAGGAATTGTTAAGTGTATCTTTTTTAAGGATGTTCCCGAGTAATCCTTGATAAGAAACAAATAATCATAAAACTCAAAATTGACATTGTTGTTTTTCCAAAATTGATGAATAGACAAGAGGTTTTTTTGTAATGTCAGAACCGGAAGAAGTTTTTGCAAAAGAAAGGATTTAGAAGATCTTGATAAAATGGAATAACTAGTTTTAGTAATTCGTAGTCCTGCACCATTACCAACTTGAATGTGTTCTGTTCCATCATAATCATCATGCTTGAGGTTGAGATTGGTTAGGTCATTGATGATGTGTTGCACCAGTGACTGGATGCCACACAGTGTCTGCACGTGCATTCTTTGCTACTGTCATACCTGGAATATTGTTACCAGATGGTTGATTGGTGTCACAGACATCAGACCTAGAGTAGCAAGTCATAGCAGTGTGGCCTAGTTTATCACAAAGCTGACAGTAGATGGGATCCCTGTTGAATTGACCTCAAGCACTGGTGTTAGAGTAACGAATACGGTGATAAACCTTCCATCGTCCTCAAAAAGTTTCCACGACTGCGAGGTTGACAAGAAATGTGTTGACGGGTAGAAAGATTTGCAGAATCATTGCTAATAAAGGATGCAATATTGTTGGCAATGATTCTAGACTCCGTAATTAACATTAACGAGTATAGTTCCTCTAAAGTACTTAAATCCTGTCGGGCAGTGACAATGGTGACCAAGGAGTGTAATCATGTCCAAGTCCAGCAAGAAGATAAGTGTAATCATCAGATGATATATGTTGGCTAGTAATGACTAGTTCATCAGAAATCTTTCTGATGTTGAAGAAAAAGTCAGTGCAGGCTGATTGAGAACCTTTGCGGAGAGTGAAGAGTAGAGAGCTAAGATGAATAACACGAGCTTTAGATTGCGAGGTAAAGATTTTTTTCCAACGCTTGCCAGACATCATATAAGGTTTGATGAGAAGCAATTTGAGCAACTATAAGCTCGTGTACATTATGGCACTCAGTACCAAGGCATCCTGACAAATCCAATGAGAGTATGCAAGATTTAGAGAAGAAGAGGAAGTGGTATTGATGGTGTCAATGTCTGTGGTTTGGGAATGTTTCCATCAAGGCCAAGAAAATAAGGTATAACATGGGCTTTCCACGTAGTGTAGTTGTTTTTAGTGAGTTTATGGATGTTGACAGTAGGTGTTGTGATGAAAGCGGGAAGTGCAGCAGAGTTAGAAGAAGTCATTTGATGTTGGTCAATACGATGGCTCTAATTATACAATGTAGAAGTTGAA